GTTTCCCATTTTCCTGGGTTAGATCTGCTGAGTGAATCGCATAACCCTACTTAGTTTGGTACGAATAAATCGAATAGTCGATCTTAAATCGGTAGAAGTCATCAAATTTTTCATTCATTCTGCCATTTTTCCATCCAGCCATCATGCATTGCACAAAGTTTTTTTGCCTTTCACCTTTTTCTTTGTCCATTGTCGCAAACAGAAACATCACTGAGATGATCCTCCGGACTTCAAGCCTTTGCCTCGGAGACATCCACAGCGAGTTTTAGATATTTGGAAGGGTCTATGTTCCCATCAGCCTTTTTTGCTCAATTTTCTGACTTTTCTCATGTTCATTCTGCTTCCAAAAATGCGGACAAGACCTGCTCCCTTCAGCTTCCTCACTACTTTTATTACTTTACACTTCCAAAGGTTCAGCTGGTTTCAATGTTTTCTCCAGGCTAAACTGTATCCTATCATATCTCGTCTATGATCACAATAAGAACCCAGTCAATCTTGAAAAACCATTGGTTTCCTAGTTTCCAGTTAGTATCTCATGGGAATAATCCAGAGAAATTAATAAGGCCCTCGGAGTTTCACTTATCTCGGGTTTCCTGCTATGCTGAGGTAGATTCTCGGCATGAGGTCCTATAAAACGGTGTTCTATTCTGACCTGAATACAGCGGCACACTGGGTACCTTAACGATCTCTCCCAAGCGATGATGAGTCTGAAAGTCGGAATCGTTGTTAGAGTTATGGGCTGTAAAATATGAAAACTGGGATCTGGGCAGCAAAAAATCGAGAGGGAACGTAATGCTACACATTCCCTCTCACTGTTGAAGTGCCCTCCATAGCACTTCTCCTATAGGGGATCCAATTCCTATCCAATGACTTTGTTTCCTACAACTTCCACTGAAAAAGGTATTAACGAGTTTCCTCCAAGTAATCTGAGCTTTGTTCCGTGGATGTATAGGCTTTTTCAGTTTACATAAGATGACAGCTTGGACATCTGGGCGATTATAAATTATGATCGCGATGGCAAGAATTTGTAGTCAGTCTTATCCCATACCAATCAACAGCTTCATTCATCTACATCTCCTCTGCAGCTAGGAATCCTGTTGACTAGTCATGTATACCTGCTGTATGGGTTGAATACGACGTACTCTTCAAGTGACTCTCGCTGGTGTATTAGCTTTTTTTGTCTGCCAGTGGGGGAGTATACCCTAAGTAGGTGGAATAATTCTTGGATGACCCATCTTAGGCTTTCTGGAAGAAGACTGTGGTAGGATGGCTCCACTTCGACCTTCTTGAACCAAGAGGCCCTAGATTAGCTGTGGATATAGGCGCAATGACTCCCGGCGGAATTCACCCAGATTCTTCCCCGGATGCGTATATCTACTTGTTCTTTCGTTACTGTAAATCTTTTAGATACCAGCAACGTTAGCGAATTGATTTGTTTGCCATGCTGATGGTAACATGTTCTCCACCCTGGACTCCTCCATCATGTGGAACCATCCTTCCGGCGATTAAGCGAGCAGAGTTCGTAACTTCTAATTACCTCTGGTGTTCCCAGTATTTTGTGTGGGATAGAGCTGTTGACGACCGCATAGGCTCATATTCCTCAGAAACATATCATATTCTGAATACGAGCAGCAAAACACCCCGCACTTTTCATTAGAAAATTAATTATGCCAAGTTTTTCCCTAAGGCTTGATGTTGTTCCTTTTAATAAAATATGATATTAAATAGTGAGGAATGAAGCCTCTCAAGCTTGCTCGAACGGGAGAAGATCTGAGTGTAGTACTTAGGAAATGTTTTAAAGCGGCCTGGAGGCATCAACACCCCTTTCCAGGGGAGAGTTACGGGTAGCGGCTTACCCGGAGTTAGNGGCTCGAAGTTGTCGAAGTCTACAAAGAAGTGGTTCCCCCTTTCAACTGTCTTCCCCTGCTGTTGAGGCTCAACTCGATGCCACTCAGAAGGCAATGCGGGTGGTGTGACTATATCTCAACTCAACGCGTACTTCTAGTATTTAGGGTTCGAGACTTTTTTCCCAAGACCAGCCAACTTCTATAGCATATGGTCCCACATAAGCACCGAGCAATGAAAGCTCACGGCCATGACGCAGCCTTCACTTGATATGATCGCAAACCGCATTAGTTAGTTAATGCTGATGGATTACTGCCGGTGACAGGTTCCGCTTTTTACCAAATCCAATAATTTCATTGCTTCGTAAATGGGACGAGTTTGGTGATTCAACAAAAAGGGAAAAGAGAAGCATTGGTATCACATATGGGTAGGGAGTCGGAACCAAGTCGAAATGAACCTCTTCCTGAATGATCAGTCTGTGATTTTGATAACTTCCTTGAAGGCGATTTGAACAGAAATTTTCGTAAGTCAGCCCAGAAACTGTTATCGAATAGATCATTCGATGTCGCTGTCTCCTATTCTGTATCTCAGATATCAGAAAGAATGGATGAAAACACAGATAAATTTTTCTTCTGCGTGAGATACCAGTCAAGATTGATAGGCTGTGGTACCTTCTCCCCAAAAATCGCGTCGCGCTTGCCGCATCCAGTCGAACGCAGCCGCGCGCTATGAAGGGGAAAAGTAAAAAATCCAGTGGAAGGCGGAGGTGGTGTAGTGGCAAGTGGCGCACTATATCACACGCACGGTTAGGGGTTAGAGTCCCGGATCGATGCCCGCCTAGGCCAACGAAGCCTTCCATCCTTCCGGG